CAAACTAAAACTGATGACGACTTACTCTCTATGTAGAGTTTTGATATTTTCCTTTCCCCCCCCTCACGGCCCCAAATCCATCTCTCTACATGACTCTCCATGTCTCTCTCTCTCTCTCTCTCTCTCTCTCTCTCTCTCTCTCTCTCTCTCTCTCTCTCTCTCTCTCTCTCTCTCTGAATACTGCAGCCGGAAGATCCAGCCGCAAGATCTCGTAGAAAGCAACATTAAATGAGAGACATTCCAGACTGCTGAGAAATGTAGAGAACATAAAAAACACAGCCTCTTGTGTCGACAAGCTAATGGCTAAGGAGAACACTCTCCTAGAAACATTCTGGCTTACAATACGTAGCCGATATCAGGAAGAACAGCAGAAAAAAAGTTGAGTTGCTTTTAGTGGACTAGTTTCGTATTGTGTTGATAATCATGGTCAGCTAATTAATTAACGTTTTTTAATTCTCATTTTATAGTCTTAATATATTATTGATTATATGTTTTTGCGATTCTAGTTTACCAAGAAGTATGCTCTTCATAGACGTCCCTTGCATCATAGCTTTGTACTTTATTCTTCGTCACTAATAATATTATTCTCTCCTAGTTTGGGTGAAATTTACTCGATAGATAGATAGATAGATAGATAGATAGATAGATAGATAGATAGATAGATAGATAAGCTATTAAAAGCACTGATTGTGTGTACGCGTGCGTGTATGTCCTTCTTAGTTTTCTATGCTCTTATTTGTTTATTATATTTTGAAAATGTTGCCTTTGTTCCTATCTATATTTGTCAACTTATATAACAGTTCTTTCTCATTCAAATTGTGAAATTTAAAGCCAATGCTACATTAGGAGCTCGCAACCCATCAATGCAAACAAAGACAAAATGATAATATTATCCAAGATATAAAATTAATACCTTGATGACAGGCGCCTCTATTATCTTGCTTCTCCCTTTGACAATTTGTTAATTTAATCAATACCCTGAGCTCTTAAGTAGTATTTGTGAAACATTTCTTGGAAGAAAGAGACATTGCAGATTATAAATTAAGGACGGTTCTATGGTATGGATCATTCATGGATTTTGGATTCGAATGAATAAAGGAGAAAGCATTTTTGCTGTCAGTTGGGACTTTGAAATTAGACATGAAATTATCCATTTCTTACCCCCCCCCCCCCCCGCCCCCACTCCCCACCCCGAACAATAAAAATGAATTCTTTCATTTTGCAGAAAAAATGCCAATGGTGAACGGTAGCATTGCTTTGATTAATTCTGGAACCAACACTTTCTGACAACAGGGGGCATGTTGCTGAGAGAAACGTTGGACCGATAAAAATAAAAGACATAATATTACTATTATTATTATTTTTATTATTATTATTATTATTATTATTATTATTATTATTTATTATTATTTATTATTATTTATTATTATTATTATTATTATTATTATTACGACAAATGGATGACTACTGTACAGTGTGTATTCCATACGTTTTCCATGGAATTATTCTTTTACAGGATCAAAAGAGTCACTAAAACCATCAAACGAACTGAGAAAATAATGGCAGAAACATCCACAAAAACATTTCGGATGCCATTCACTTTTCTTTTCAACATGCCAGAATGTCTGATCAAAGCATACACCAGGAACAAGAATGGTGTTTTTTTCTGTTACTGCAGGCTTGTTTTTGTCCATGTTCGTAATATCTGTCTGATAGATCGGACGTCGCGTGGCAGCTCATACGCCTGAAAGATTCCGGCGCACGAAAACCCACATTACAGGGTACTTGATGAGACAGTGTTCTCGGGGGTGTCCAAAAGAGAAATCTGTAAACGGAGGGCAGTTTGCGGCTTTTTTTATTTTCGAATGATAGTAAATGATTCCAGGGAAAAGGCATGTTAGCACGAGTCTACAAAACACTAGATAATACGTAATCTTCTTCCAGGTTTACCATATCTGAATGAATTCTTAATCCGCAGTAAGATAGATCTGCGTTGACGAAGAAACTCATAGGTCCTACACGTAGATCGGTCGGCTGCTCACACTTCCCCTTTACAGATCTGTTCTTCGGTCCCTGCTCCCGCATCTCCCCCCCCCCCCTCTCTCTCTCTCTCTCTCTCTCTCTCTCTCTCTCTCTCTCTCTCTCTCTCCCATTCCCCCTCCCTCTCTCTCCCACTCCTCCTTCCTCTCTCTCTCTCTCTCTCTCTCTCTCTCTCTCTCTCTCTCTCTGTCTCTCTCTCCCTGTGTCTCTGTCTCTCTTTCAACCTTCTTATTCTCTCTCTCCAGTTACACCATTCAACATTGCATGGATGTACAATACCAAGCTTTGCCCATCTTTAGTTCTCCTTGACGATGTAGGCTGCTACTTATAATTATTATCCATGTCGGACCCTGGCTCAAAGCATCCTGTAATATGGGTCTAAACCATCCCTGCATAGTTCAGTGACCTACCTGCGTATTGTTTTCTTTTCAGCCAAGAAAAGGTCAAAGTGATAAAATGT